GTGAGCTTGTATAAATGGCTGTCAGAACAGGGTTTAGGAGAGATAATAAAAAGGCAAATTTTACTTCCTTAGGAAAGATAGAACGTACTAATCTAGCAATGGCCTGGTAGCTTACCTCGTCAATTATCCATACTTGTCTATGCATGTACGCAGGTGTGTGCACTATATTTTTTCTTGCAATGCTTATCAATTGCTTTACTTGCGACGTGAAAGTACGTGTCCATATTTGTAAAATCCAGGGGTAAACAATCAAATCTCCCCAGCACAATGCCGACACGCTATATCCGGTTACTGTTCTTTATTTAATGATTCTCTTCACCACCAAACGCCTGCGCTCAAAACGAACGGATTAAAAGTTTCAATCGATTGAACTAGAATAGAAAACAATCCGAGAATGACGAGGCTGAAGTTGTTGAAAACGGAGAAGCAAAGAAAAAGGCGGAGAGAGAGGACAAGGAATGAAACTTTATTCTTGACAAATGCGAAATTGGGACATTTTCATATTAACAAAAATTAATACTACAGTGTAACCCGGATATAAGAGACCCGGATATAAGAGAAACCCGGATATAAGAGAGATTTTCTCTGGTCCCAAATTAGAGCCTGTGTTAATGTATATAAATTAGATCAAACCCGGATATAAGAGAAACCCGGATATAAGAGACTTCTTCTCCGGTCCCGACAACTCTCTTATATCCGGGTTACACTGTATGTACATTTGATTTTGGGAATCGTTCTATTAAAACTAACGGTAGTATTAATAATCCATACTTAGATTTATTTAGCTTAGCTGTGTATGACAAAAGGCCGCATCTGTTGAGCAGCAAGCGAGGACCAGACTTATTGCAATAATATTAAGTCTAGAAATTTGCAAATCAGTCAGTTATGACTCGTTAACCATAAACACTACATATTTTCTTCCCTCTGTCTTTTCTTTAAATATTTTCACGATAACAGCTCCGACGAGCTACATTCGCTAGTTCCCAAACTGCATGAATTTATGCGTACTACTAGATTGGCATCTAGATCCCACCCTTTTACTGTCGAAACAGTTAAATGTAACCACCTCTTCTACTCCAACAGCTTCTTTTCTCGCACTTCCCAACAATGGAACTCCCTTCCTCTTCCTTGCTTACCTGATAACTATAATCTTCAAAAATTTAAATATAATGTCAATTGACATCTTCTGATGCCTTAATCCTCGTTTTTATTTTTATCCTTTCCTCACCCACCTATACCCAGTCTTTTCTTTTATTTTCACTCTCTGTAGCCCCTTGCGTACTAGTGGCACTCCCGCCTTGCTTGGGGTGAAATGCTTAAAAAAAAAAGATGTCTTCATAACCTTATTTCCTATTTCCTTGCTTGAACTGCGCTTTCAATCCCTATATGAGTGGAGTTAAGAAACGCATTCTTTAATCCAGTCTATATTAAGCTACTGCCGTGTAAAAACTAAGGTATGTTAGTATACACCAAATTCACTTTTAACTATCACCTATACTTAGATGCACGGTTAGATAGCGGCTCGGATTGAGGAATCGGAGACCCGAGTTCGAATTCAAGCCGTCGAGTTCATTATATTCCCTTACGTGCTAATACCCTAGGGAAATGTATGAATCCGTCTCTTCTAACAGCACTGGTGGCTGAAGCCGAAATGCCAGGTCAGGACCGATAACATTTTGGTCTCTTCTTCGTTTTTAATCAAGAATCTCTAAATGCGTAGCAGAAACATCAGGCCAGATGTAACAGCAATATTCAATGTATGGACGAATGGTAGGAATGGTAACCTTAAAAATATTATATAGATTATGACGAGAAAAATTATCTAGCACAAAACAGTGAACCAAATTTCCTAGCAATTGATTCAATATAACTTTTCCACTTCATGTCAGAGTAAAAAGCTAGCACAAGAAGCTCCAATGAGTTACTCTCATGGAGGCTAGCATCAATCATGAAAGGCGAAAAAGATTGTCTAAGACGATTAAAAAGAGCAGTTTAGTTTTGAAGAGGTTAAAATTAACAAGTCATTCCTTGCTCAATTAACAACAGAGTGGAGGTCATTTTTTTAGATGAGCTGCCAATTTGACTATATCGAATCGGTCACACTTACCATTATGACAGGAGTAAATAGTTGTGTCAAAATTTTATAAAATCGGAACCTACAACATCAATGCGAAAGCAGTTTTGTGTGGTTCTGAATTAAGGTGACGAAGAAGAGTACTTGAAGCAACAGAAATGTTGTTCTACAGAAGGATGCTGAGGACTGAACATGGGAGCAACGACAAAGTTTTAGAAAAAATGGAAGCAAAAAGGAACCCTTATAGTTAACATCAGAAAGAAAATATTGAAATTCCTAGAGCACATAATGAAGAAAGAGGGATTGGGAAATTTGATACTCACATGACATATTGAAAGCAAGAAGAATGGCCAGAAGAAAGCAGCCTGGCTAACATAGTATTACGAATTGGAGAAAAATGACAAAATCAGTAGTAGAAAATATCCCGAGGAGCTGCTGTCAAAGAATGGGATCTACAGCGCCAAGCAGAATTATACCTTGTTACCCTCCCTAAAGAGTGAGAGTAGACGTCTGGAAATTTCATCATTATCTTATCCCCTTTCTGTAAGCAACGACACTGAACCGACAAGGTGTGAATAATTGATCGCTACAACTGAAGCTTACTCTAGGATGGAAGCAAACTGAGCCAAGGCGATCTATTATTGTGCTTATTTTTATGACTATTTTCTTTATTTTGTTGTTTTTAGCATTGTGAAACAAAAGGATTGTACACTTTTATAATAGGGCGGCTTGATTTTTCCCGTTTTTTAGGAAAGTCAACCAGCCCAGTGTGAAAGCTGGAGTTTGATGTGATAA